AACCCTGACAAACTTACTAGCCTTTGCTGTAAATGATCTTGAAGCAGGCACCTAACAGCTGGGTGGACAACGCTTTGGATTCGTAGTCCTGAGGTTCTGGGTTCGATCCCCGGTGAAAGCGGAGACAAATGGGCAAAATGTTTCTTTCACCCTGATGCCCCTGCTACCTAGAAGTAAATAGGTACCTAGGAGTTAGACAGCTACTACGGGCTACTTCCCGGTGGGTGTGTAACAAAAAGGAGGCCTGGTTGAGGACCGGGCCGCGGGGACGCTAAGCCCCGAAATCATCTCAAGATAACCAGCACTCGTAGACTTCTCCAACTGGACGTCAACACAAGAGAATATGGTTGTCACTAGACAGACTTATACATCCTAACGCAGACAAGTCTACAGTACTCTCCAAGGAGGCTTAGGTGGGGAGAGAGAGGTAAGGTAATTATGAGAAAGAGCTAAGCCAGTATGACTAGCACTTGGACTGGATATGGGGGTCAAGGAACTGGAATAGGACAGTGGGAAGGAATAGTGCCCAATCACTTGGATCATCCGGGGTCGAACGCCGACCTGCAAGAGGTGGAGAGGAAGAGGGAGGTGGTGAGGAGTGTAATCATGGGATCCCGCTAGACTCGTTAATGCAACTAAATAAAATATATTGTATGTTAATACACAATTACGCACTGGGATCACAGAAAATATCACGTTTGTGCAACCATTTATGTTTGCCAGTAACTGGTACTAGGACCAGGAGTCATCAAAAACTTGCGAAACCTGTACATCTTTCGAAAATCATTGGTGACTTAGTATAAAACAGTTTAGGAGCTCCAAAACGCCGCGAGATCTTTCTCGACCCAATGATGTTATTGACCACCTCGTAATACTTCTGAGATCATAAACTGTTGAATTAATGTAAACTAAACCACCATGAATGGGGGAAAAAGATGCACGTAAATGAACGTGCATGAACACTTTAAGTGTTCATGCCCGTTCATTTACGATTTACGTGTTAAAGTGTTCATTTACGTTCGTAAATGAACACTTTTTAAGTGTTTGATGACTCCCTGGCCCTGAAGATGATGACAGCCTCGGACCTAAAGGTCTCATACTCCCTGGTGAACGACTGTGAGGCAGCCAACGCATGAGTGCGCAGCGTGCGTGGGTCTCATGCGTCTTGAAGGACGGGGTGTGGGACGCTGTGAGCATGAGGTGCACAAGTCTCCAGGTGATCTTGAGAATATAATTGATGTTTGTGGCCCCTGCACCTGCAGCCGTGACCGGTGGGAGGGAAGAGTGTGGGTGCATTTACTAATTGTATTTACAATTACTTCTTGGACCCGACCCGGAAGAAAATATTCAAATATTCAGGGAGAATGCACAAGGTCTTTTTTTATATACCCTTTATTCTCTTCTTTGAGACTAAGGGTCTTTTAAGTAAAAAAAAATATAATATATATATATATTATATATAATAATATAATAATAATAATATATATATATATATATATATATATATATATATATGCTCTATAGGGCCCCCTAGTGTAATGACATTTTCAAATAAAGTTAGATATATATACACACATACCAAAAGAATAGGGGTGGTAGAAGAAAATATCAAAGTGTTCAGTGGGGATCCAAAAGGTCTTCTCTGAGTACTCTTTATTTTCTTCTCCGAGGCTATGGGTCCCTACACTTGCACTAGAGGTAGTACCCCTAAGTATTAAATTATTATATATATATATATATATATATATATATATATATATATATATATATATATATATATATATATATATATAATATATATAATATATATATATAATATATGGGAAATACATACATAAATACATATAAAAAAATATGATATGTATATTTATGCATTACAAGTGATGCAAGAAGAGACCCACAACAGTCACTTTATAATGACACAAAGTATGTGAACAGTTCTGCTGACATTTAGTTTGACATTTGAGTTTACATTTAATCTAATTTATATCAGCAGATGATGCATACTCCCAGAGGTACCTGTAGCCGAGCCCAAGCCTAGCAATTGTAACATCTAGAAGTCTACTAACCTTATTGGACGATCCATCATATCCCTCTATATAGGTATACCACATGTAAATATGTGGCATAGACTCTTCTGAGAATATATTGTATTAGAATGCTTATTTTGGGCTGTTCAAACTCTTTCAGGCTTTTTAAGTCATCTAAAGAGCCTTTCGAATTCCTCTATTGGGAATTTATAGAGAGAGCCCACTCGCAGAGCGTCTTAGCCAGAAATATACAATGATCCGGATGAAGGAGTAATGATGACAGATTGGTCGTGGATTTAGGATATTTCTGTAGGTCATATCTGACAGCCATTGAGTCCTCTGATTAGGCCGTCATGTTTTCTGAGTAGCCCAGTGTGTCCTCTGATCAGGTCGGCATGCTTTATTAGTGTGTCAGTGTATCCCCTGACGTGTTGAACCCTTTGACAAACAGGAGCCCTGACCGTTGTTGTAGCTGCTAGCTCCTCCTGTTGTGTGTGCCAGTGACCGTGTCGGTGAGTGCCACTGGGGATACATGGATATACTGATACAGGTTACCGATGCATTTGATGTTGTGTGGGTACGTTCACTTTTACCCAAAATGCACCTGTTACGGGTGCATTTTGTGTATGATGAAGTCATTGTCAGCTGTGGTACATTCGCTTCGATGTTAATGATATATTGTCTGTTTTTAGTAGCACACTTGTTATTGTTGAAGGGAAGTGGAATGAGTGTAGGGTGATTGAATGGGTGGTGGTGGTGGGAAGCTGGGCCGTGGTGCAGAATTGGGTGGTGTTGATAGGTTGATGATGGTGATGGTGGTGGGGACGTTGGTGAAGGTGGTGGCGAGAAACTATGCGGTTGTGGGGGAGGAGGCGGCCACTTTTGAGTGCAAGTCCTCAAGAATGACATCAGCGACTGTCCTGGCTACCTGCCCGGTCTTTGGTCTTTTGTTTCCTCCTCCCCTTCTCTCTATCTACCCTTCCCCTTTGCTCTGTCTCCCAAACTCATTCATATATCCTCCTTTCTCTATTTGTAAGTGCGCATGTTACATGCTGATCATTACGTACGTCTACACCATGCTGCTGATGTCTGCCTGACGTTCCCTTTCACCCTGCCTCCCTTCATCCATCCATTCACAAATAGCTAAAGCAAAAAGCTGAAATTCCATTCCGGCTTACACGCAAGAATCCGCCTCTGTTGGAGGCCTTTATGATCGAGTATATATTTTTACTCCCTGACGTCACTAACTAATCCCATGATGTGACTGGAGGGGCAAGAACGCCACTTTATGTGGGCTTTGTGACTTAGGCCTTCACTATCTCTGCCTCCCTCCCTCTCTCTCTCTCTCTCATTAAATGAAGGTTTGCAGGATTTGCATTACAGCAGTACATGTATTCTGTTAGCTAAAAGCAGTCATTCTGCATTATTTTATTTACTAATACGGTAGGAAACAGAAAAGCGTTATTTTCCCGAGGGTGGGGAAAGGCATGTCTCTGTGGCTGTGTGGTACACGGTTGTGTTGTGGGCGCGTATCCCCCGCCCAGCTCTTGTTGCCAGCCTTAGTGGAAACAATCTGGCAAACCTCAAGGGCAGAGCGAGAGGAACTCCCGGTTGTTATTAATGCCTCGTGGTAATTGTTGGAGCATGTTCTTAGAAACATGTTTTGTGTTTACGTTGCGACCTGCATGCCTCGCTTTACCGTGTGAGTTGCATTCGGTTAGGTAAGGTTGAATGTCGCGATTTAGCTTAGTTTCTCGTCTTATCTGTTATAGGTTGCCTAATGCAGACTTTCGAGTCTTAGTTTATAATTTGCTTTTGAAGATGTGTAGAAATTAGCCTTCATTATTTCCCTTTCTTGTTCCATTTTCTCACTGGTTTCATGCTAAATAAGCGACTCCACAGCTCTGTGACTCATCTGAGTCTCTAGCGTCAACCTACGATATCTCGTTCTCTTAATTTTAAGTTGTTAATTTTGCCCCGAATGGCGAGTTTATTGGGCAGCGCCACTCATTCTGTGAGTGAACATACCGTCATAGTTCTGTTGTGATGCTCACTCTGAGAATTTCATCCATATCTGTATCGTTGTATGTCTCAATCATGTCTCCTCTATCTTTGTATGTCTCGATCATGTCTCTAATCTTAGTACGTCCACCTGCTCCCGCGGGGAGGAGGGGGGGGGGATATATTCTGATGTATTTTCTGTGGTTGAGCTTCAACTCCCGGGTTCGCTTCTCAACCTTCATTCAACCTGCTTATTTTATCAACCTGTGAATACATGTAACCAGTCTATATAGTTCCATTTACTTGTAAAATGTAAAATATTCTTCTTGAAGACCTTGTGACTCAGCTGGGTGTTCACCGCCCAGCTGTGGCCCTCAGTCCTGGCACCTTCCCTCTTGAATGGGTACCACCTGTATCTACTCTGCCAATGGTATTTGGTACGTCACGATCATATTCACTCTTGTTTTATGCACCAATACGAATCTGTTGACATTTCTGGACTGAGTTTCATTACAGTCGAGTTTAGTTTGGCGAGAACTTCACGCTCACGCTAGAACTGCGTACCTCAAGCTCTTGAAAGTAGTCCTTTGTCTCATCTTTGCTGATGTTTTCCAGCTTGTGTGCCTCTTGAGGTAGGCAGGTGGGTTTGGAGTGCTGCTTACTCCCAGTTTCCGGTCTTTGATACCAATACCTGTGGTCCTTCTGTGTGATAAGCTATCAGTGACCTCCTCACGTCACTCAGGTTCATTATTTTGCACTTGCTTGAGTGTCGTTGCGACGTGACACAGGTAACGTGACACAAGACGGAAGTAGGAGGAGGAGGTAGAAGAAAAAGCAACGAAAGGGTACCATATGTTTTGTAATCATAAATATTTGTTCAGCATGGCATTGGCAGCATTACAAAACATATGTATTACTGTATATGTTTGTATGGTGTATATGCATATTCTTATTGTAATTATATTTCAGGTAACAGGTATTTAAGTTGTGCCGAGCGTCTAAAATAGAAAACATTTGTAGTGAAACTTATAAAAGGGTCAGAACCTTCATCACTGTTGCAAACCTGAGAGAAAAAAGTTTAAATCTAGACATTTCTTATTAAACATAAACTTTAGTGCTGTGTTCTAAGATCAAGGATAAAGTGGACTTCTTAAAATCTTCGTGTTGTGAAGATGATCGACTTTTGACCATTGCCACAACTCTGGTTTTGCTGAGGCATGTAAATTGGGAGGATGGAGGCGCCCGAGTGAGAGGGGCGTCCCCCACCCACAGATGGAGGCTGAGATGAAGACCACCATCAGGAAAGATTCTGGCGAAGAGGAGGGCGAGCCTTCATCGGCGCCAACCACAGCAGACGACGAGGAAAGGTTCAGTGAGAGGTGTTCAAGAGGTGCCCTAAGCATGATGCTGGAGGACGACGGAGAAATGCTGGCGATGGAGAAGCCGCTATTGGAAATTCCTCTGGACGTGCAGGAGGAACTCACACATGCCAACGACGACAATAACAACAAGAACTGCCCGGAGAGCGTCATAAGCCCTCAGGATAATGGGCCATCGGGAGACATGGAGGTGGTCGAAAGAAAGATGGTATTTGGCATTCAACACGAAACTCTGGACGAGCTTGATTCGTGTCTAATGTTCACCAGCGACGACGAAGAGGGCCCCACCGACCTCATGTCAGCCATCTGCCGTGTCTTGCCGGAGCTGCAGACCGTGAACCCCGTGTGTGTGATTCGTCATTCCGGCTTGATGTTGACCAAGGGAGGAGACTCCCAGGGACAGGTCATGCAACAAGGGAGTGACGAGGACACACCCAAACACGCGTCAGATGACCTTGCTCTCACCCACACCTCGAACGAAGCACAACGACACTGCACGAGCTCACCCGTCCCTGAATGCGAGCCATCCACTGGTAATGACATTCAGTGTGGAAACTCATGTGTTGCCGATGAGCCGAAGATTGAGGATGCCCGCCAAGTTAGTGAAGACGCAGACATTAACAATGCGTTTCTTCCTTCCTGTCGGTCCTCACATGCTGAGGTGGGGGAGGCTGCTGTAGAGTGTGTCGACGTGGGGCAGGAACCAACCATAAATGTGGTGGAGGATGAAGCCTTCAAACAGGAGAATAAAAGAGGTGACATCCCGACGGCAGGATCAGAGACTGTGGTTAACTTGGACCCGACGGCAGGATCAGAAACTGTGGTTAACTTGGACCCGACGGCAGGATCAGAGACTGTGGTTAACTTGGACCCGACGGCAGGATCAGAGACTGTGGTTAACTTGGACCCGACGGCAGGATCAGAGACTGTGGTTAACTTGGACCCGACGGCAGGATTAGAGACTGTGGTTAACTTGGACCCGACGGCAGGATCAGAGACTGTGGTTAACTTGGACCTGACGGCAGGATCAGAGACTGTGGTTAACTTGGACCCGACGGCAGGATCAGAGACTGTGGTTAACTTGGACCCGACGGCAGGATCAGAAACTGTGGTTAACTTGGACCCGACGGCAGGATCAGAGACTGTGGTTAACTTGGACCCGACGGCAGGATCAGAGACTGTGGTTAACTTGGACCCGACGGCAGGATTAGAGACTGTGGTTAACTTGGACCCGACGGCAGGATCAGAGACTGTGGTTAACTTGGACCCGACGGCAGGATCAGAGACTGTGGTTAACTTGGACCCGACGGCAGGATCAGAGACTGTGGTTAACTTGGACCCGACGGCAGGATCAGAAACTGTGGTTAACTTGGACCCGACGGCAGGATCAGAGACTGTGGTTAACTTGGACCCGACGGCAGGATCAAAGACTGTGGTTAACTTGGACCCAACGGCAGGATCAGAGACTGTGGTTAACTTGGACCCAACGGCAGGATTAGAGACTGTGGTTAACTTGGACCCGACGGCAGGATCAGAGACTGTGGTTAACTTGGACCCGACGGCAGGATTAGAGACTGTGGTTAACTTGGACCCGACGGGAGGATCAGAACCTGTGGTTAACTTGGACCCGACGGGAGAATCAGAGACTGTAGTTAGCTTGGACCCGACGGCAGGATCAGAGACTGTTGTTAACTTGGACCCGACGGCAGGATCAGAGACTGTTGTTAACTTGAATGAGAGAGAAGACATCATAACAGACGAGATAAAGGAAGTCACAGATGAAAAAGCCCCGAATGAAAACATGGATAGTGGACTGGAGAGTGAGAGGGGGGACGAGAATAAAGGTCAAGGTGAGACAATGAATAGCGGAGATATTTCAAGTCCTGATATACAAATGAAGCTTGACAAAGAAGCCAGCGGTGAAGAACTGGTTACAAATTACACAGGTACAATCAAGGACTCTGAAACAGGAGACCCAAATACTCCAATAGGTGCTCAAAATAACATTGTACAGCCAGAACCGGAGAGCAGCATGGAACCACATTATGCCACAGTGATGGAGGTTCGACCCGTACCCTTGGTGAAGGACGAGGGAGACGAGCACATGAACAGCCGAAGTGAGTTATTAACGAGTGACAGTGCCAAAGATGTGGTTGTGAGGGAAGTTCCCAACCATATTTACGAGTGTCCAAATGAGGTGAAAGAGCACAGACTCAGTAGCAGTAGCAGCACCGCCGGGGAGGAGAAAAGTGATGATGGCAGCTCTACTGACTGTAACGTGGAAACTAAAATTGAAAGAACCGTGTGTGAACTCCGGGAAAATTATAATAAGCTGCTCGGGGCTCCCGAGCCAATCTATGAAAGCATCGACGCTAAGAATGAAGGAAATGGCAATAGGAATGAGAGAAGCACCCGCGACTGTGGTAAGATCGAAGGCCTGAGAAGTTGCGCGAGGTAGTTGTTGGTGGGGGCGCTTGGCATGGTGGCTGGGCCGGGTGCATGTTCTGCCGCCGCTTTCGCTTGGCCGTCTTCTGTATTTATGTTTTCTTATTTATCCTCAGTTGTAACATTTAATGTAATGATAATCAATCTTTTGTTTCTCTCCGTCGTTTAAGCTTGCGTCATTATTAACTCATGTATATATAACCATGGCGAACTGATTCACATGATAGAAAGAGGTGTTATTTCCTGACGACTTGTTTGGGGAAGGATTCTGCTAAGGGTTCTGCCACGCTTCAGTGCCAGCTTTTAACATATAACCAGGTGGCGCATGTACGTGTCATTGCTTGCAAGATTTTTTCTACTATACGTGTCACCCCACGAGTCGTCGGAGGCCTCGAAGTCTACCCTGTGTATTGAAGCCTGCTATTTTTTCCTTGTTTAAACATTCGGTTACATGTTTTCCTTTTTTCAGGGCGGATTGTAAATATGTGTACGAATGTTGTCTTTTGTGAATATTTATTTTAATATATATATAGTGAGTGTGTTGCCTTGATGACGTCACTAATGTTAATTTTTTGTCTTCCAGACTCGCGGTCGAGCAGGTCGAGTCGTTCCAGTCGCTCGAGCACCCTGAGCGGCCCCTGGTGCGAGGAGCGCATCTATGAGGATATATCCGACCTCGGGAGCGGCGGCGTCGGCAGCGGAAGTGGTGGTGGGGGTGGTGGCAGTGGCGGTGGCAGTGTCGGCGGTGGTGGCAGCGAAGAGACGTGGGTGTCACGCCGCCTCCACGTGCACCGTCAGTTGTCGTCCTCAGACTCGTGGGGCTCTGAGGACTTCGAGTCGTACTCCAGCAACGAGGAGGAAAACGGTGGAGGATCAGTGAAGACGCAGGCGCCAAAGTGAGTTTTTCATCTGTATTTGTTCCTGTATCTGTTATATAAAGTCTTCTTTCTCCATGTACCTAGTTCGATGTCTCTTCTCTTCCGTTCCTGACTCCAATTTACTTGACTGACCTTTCTTATTCTTTCTCTATCTAATGCTGTGTTTTTTTACATTATGGTTCCTCTGTGCTTAATTCTATATATTATGTATACAATATATGGCATATATCATATATTGTACTACCCAACTTTAGGTTTCTTCCGTGTATCAGTTTTGTTTTTTCTTATCATACCTAGGCTATGGGCATTTATACGACTGTAATAAACTACGTGAAGGGATACAGAGCTGTATCAGGAGCTGTGCTATGCTAAGATCCCGCACGATGGTTTGTCATTCATGGGTATGATATCTATTAGCTTGCACTAGCAACTTCCGGCTGTATTTCGAGGATATCCTCAAGAACACGGAAGTGGGTAACGTGCTACCCACGTTACTCTCGAATATTGTACTCACTGGGTACGGGCCGGTGGGCACGAATAACACAAGATATCGGCGTTTCCAGTAACGGAGTCTTGTGCCCAAAACGCTTTAATTCCTGCCCGAAACGCTATGCCTGCTAGTGATTTTACAAGAATGTAAATCATCAATGCTATGTACTCTCATAAACCTAATGTACCTTCTTGTATATAAATATATAAATAAATAAATAAACGTGGACGAGACTTGCAGGCGTTTTAAACTTCTTATATTAACGTGATCTTGGCATTAGGAACGTGTCCTTTAGGCGTCAACTTTGAACGATAACGAAAAGTACTTGATAAAAAAATGGTCAAAGATACGGCTAAGCGTCACAATATCTATGAGTATCTTATCAGAATGTCGTTCTCTAGGTGATGGACTTGGTGATAACAGTCTACAGTTGTCATGGGAGGAAGGCAGCGGCCGCAGCTACCGGAGTAACAAAGTGTAATTGGGGGTGCAGGAAGACGCTAAGGGTGTTTGTGCCTTGTGTGCCCCCTTCCCCTTTCCCATACAGGGAGTAACTAGCACACTCGCCGGATGTGTTGTGGTGGACAATCGTCAGGGGAAGTGTCGATTCGTATTTACCTGATAGTTGAGTATCTCACGTACCGTGTTGCGTGCAAGTCTGTGAGACGGGTTCATTGTTTAACACATAAAAGACAAGAAAAAAATAACAATGGCACCACCAGTTTCCTTAACTCGGAAGCACAGCACAGGGGAAACTCCTCCAAAGTCCAGGTACAAAGTGAGACGGTCGCAAAGTTTGAATTTATCGAAAGTTTCGGCCGGTTCATTTACTGTAAGCCCGAACATGACGAACCTTCGTGGCAGTTGTGAACCTCAAAGTGAATCTGAATCGGACATTAAAGGTATCAATAAAATGACACCCCTTTTGATAAGATCTTCGAATAAAAACTCCCAATCTGACTCCTTACTCACCAAAGCATTTCAGTTGATGCTGGGTAGGAGAGGCAGCAAACTAGCTAAAGAGACTGAGAGTGGTGAGGACGACGGTGGCACGATTAATGTCAAGGAATATGCAGGAGAGTGCGCTCGGGACTGCTCACCTGTTGATGAAGGGCGCGCTGAGTCAGTGCAAGTGCTGCCAAAACAAGCAGTTGACTCAGGGCTCTCTCGTCGCCCTACTGCTGTTACGGTCGACAGAAATAAGGTTGACATTACGAGTAAATTAGAAGACAATCCAACTGACAAGTCAACAGTGTGGTATGTTAATGACGTGGGTGGCAAAGGAGAGGACAAATTGCAATCCTCTGACCATCAAGACGGATTGTTGGGCGATGCTTGCGTAAACAAATTGCCTAGTGAAATAAGAGACAACAGTGTGTGTGCAGACGAGAGTGACTGGGTCGAGGTGGCGATCAGCAACAGTGTTAACAACACTCGATGCTGCAGTTCTGGACAGCTTTTCACTATTAGCGAAGAGGGTGTTGACAACGGGGACGCCGAACGAGTTTCGCTGGCAGACGACTCCAAAGCTGCAAACGACAAGACAGGCGAGCACACTGCACCTGTTCAGGCGTCGACGCAGGCGGTGTTGTTGCGATGTCGAATGAGCTCTGGTAGCGTCCCTGCCACCGCCCGTTGGAGCTTACCAGACTCCCATGTCCACGAAACTTTAAGATTTTGGGAGACAGGCAACGACACGATGAGCACAGAGAGCCTCAATATTCCAGACGATGCATTGCAACATCACGATCTCGACTGTGAAGACAATGCTTCCTCCGAGGACAGCTCTCATCACAACTCTCCCACCGGATACACAGACGTGTTCTTTACCTCCGGAACGCCATATGTGTCTCCCAGTTTTGCCGGATCCGCTGAAGACCTGAGGTTGAACGCGAGTCAGAGCATGATGGAATTGCCACAGCGTACCCTGGATGAAACTCCGCGTCCCAGGCTGAACAGCACTATGTCCATCTGCGAACCTGATGCCATCAGGCCTCCAGAACTGCGGCGCAGTATCAGCTTCAGCTTCAGTTTTCACGGCAGTAGTGAAAAGTTAGTGGTACTTTGTGTTGTGAGCTGCCCTACTGTAGTGTAGGTCAGTGGTTGTACATGTGTCCCCGCTCTAGTGTAAATCAGTGATTATACTTCCCCATATTGTACGTGTAATTGTACATGTAGTGTTGTTCTCCACCACATTGTAAGTTGGTGGTTGTGCCTTAATTTGGTGCTTGTTAAGTCATTGAGACTTGAGTTTGTCTTGCTACACACATTTTAAAATATTTAAGAATTTTATCATATACAGATAATCAATAATTCATATAACGACGTTGGTTGGAACTTATTTCAAATACAGCCAACAGTTTCGACACTGAATACACGTGTGTGTGGGTATTATATACACGACTCTCGTATGGTCATGGCTTTATATTCATTCATAGTCACACGAACGAAAGTGATACAACGTGCGTCCCTGCATGCGTCCCCTCCCCCGCATGAGTGTCATGGGCACACGTGGATGAATGCTCACGCGAAAGGAGCGCAACAAAAAGAGGATACACACATGGAAATCCAACTCAAATGCGCTGAAAATACCTAAAATTTGTTATTTGGACATGAGGGCAGGGGAAGGAGCGTCGCAGCAGAGCAAGTGCTAGTAGGGACTTAATCTCATAAACTGATTCAGATGTAAATATGACCACGCCATTGGGGTCCAAGAGTTGTCACATCGGTCAATGGTTAACAAGTGTGGCTCAGGAGTATGAGTTTGCAACACATTAATGTGAATAGTTGAGTACACTCGCATACACTAACATGTGTATCCATATATGCATATCAATTAATGCAAGAATACACATGCAAATATTGCATCTGCAATCGCATACATGAATACACACATGTATATACGTGTGCTTGTCCTGCAAGTACATCTAGACACAAACAAGCGTATGTATACACGAGTCCTATAGCTCAATAGTCTACATAACAAAGCTCTCGGGTTCGATCCCGGGCGAGACAGATACTGTTTGGTTTGTGTTCATATAGCAGTAAAAGGTACCTGAAAGTTGGGCAATTGTAGTGGGTTGCTCATGGAAAAGATCATGAGTAGGTGCCCTAGGGATATCTAGATAAGCAGAGAAAGCCTTCTTGTCCCAGACTATAGGAAATCATAAGGTGAACCGTATACTTTATTCATTCATATTTTCGCACAATAATACATTTTCACACACACATACACTTGGGCGCAGGTGTACATTCAGGTGCAGGTGTTGATGATTTAGGAGGGACGACAATAGAGGGCTCAGATGTGCCCTTAAGGAGTATACAGTCCGGCGCATAAGGGGTCAAGGGATGGCCTCGTAGACTTAATAGTCAGACCTAAGTCACTAGGGGACAGTCACCATGAGAGAAGAAAATTAGTATCACTCCTGGAACGGCCACGTGCTAAATATATGGAGTTTTATAATGTTCCGTATTGTGACCAGAATATAGGAATAGCCAATGTGCTATATAACATTTACATATCGTTGTTTTGTATTCCATGTAAACACTTATTTTTTAAATAATTTGTAAAGCAAATATATTTAAGATTTTTGTTTTGGTGCAGCCTGGAGAACTTCAAGCAACGTCTGTTGAGAAAGAGAGAACAGTGGCGAGAGAGGCGGCAGTCTAGCAAAAGTCTGAAGGATGGCACACGAAGGGATTCAAAAGAGGACCAGTCAAAGGAATCTACTACTAAAATTGCAGAGGACAGTGAGTATAAGTGATGACCAATCCTATGGAGGAGTCTAATGTGGTCATGCACCCATACCCATCCCATGGGCAGTGGTGGAAAGGGTTAGAGGCACATAAGATTAATTAAGAAACTGAATCCCCATAGTTCATTTAGCTAAGCAAGTAACATCCTTATGAAACTAATGAAACAATTTTTTAAATGCACAAGCACATATAATGTTGGTCTCTTTTCTGTTTGTCTCTGTTTCTTTGTTTCTCTCTTTCTGTTTCTTTGTTTCTCTCTTTCTGTTTCTTTGTCTCTCTCTCTTTCTGTTCGTCTGTCTCTCTCTCTCTCTTTCTGTTCGTCTGTCTCTCTCTCTCTCTTTCTGTTTGTCTGTCTCTCTCTCACTCACTTCTCAGAACTACCTCCTGGTCTTATATCTTTCTTTCACTGTCTAATTGTCTCTGAGGACAAACACAAGTCTGAAATCATGCTCATTCAAAATCCTTTCATTTATTGTGATTTTTCTAGAGTTTGAGATCAGTGTGAGGTTTGAGGTATAAATCACATTAATGTGATTTCATTATGCATTTAAGTCAATGTGTTTACTATGAAATTATGTATTTTGAAGTAAATGTACCTATAACATGTACTCCACGCATGGGGTCCGTGGTTAGTCTCTCCAAGAGTCCAGGTGAATGCAATAAATATTTCTATGTTCTTGGTAATGATGAAACCACCAACCAGAAGGCCTGGTTAGAGACTGGGCTACAAAGACATTGCTTCTCAGTCACCTCAAGGTCCAAGCTCTGACCAGGCCTCGGAGTACAGTATAGAAAATGTTATTTTATATACTGTACTGTATACACACACCAATATGAGATGTCATAATTTAATACAAAGCATTAACATTTTTAAATCATCCCTGGCATGGCTGCTATATTTGAATGTAAAACATTTGTCATTATATCTTCCTTGATTATCTCTAAATCTGTGCATTATCAGAAAATTATATAAGGTTTAATATACACGGTTTAAGAAGTAGTGTACAGCAGACAAGTGATCTGCGGTGTGATGCTTTTCACCATACATTGTTATATTCAAGATACTGGTTATAATTACTTGTACAATTTTTAAGTGGACATTGCCTTTACAGATCCTCCACCCACACCAGACAATAAATTGTACAGATGGTTTTCCTTGCGCAAGAGTGTCAATTATGATGTGGAACGACGTAGCAGCACGATTGCCAGTACAGAGCGCACTAGCTCCTACACTACCAGCAATGGTACCAATGCCAATAGTAATAACAGGATGCCAAAACTTTTGGAAGAGGCAGACACTGAACATGGTGGGCTATTTTCTGAGAACGGGGGAGTGTTTGCACACACTTTTCAGCGCAGACACCAGCCCCCAACCTTACCACCTATGCCACAAAGCCTCAGTCCAGAACAGATTAAAAGGCGACATATTGTTGCATCTATAGTTCATAGTGAAAACAATTATGTAGCAACTCTCCAGAGACTAGTCAATGTAAGTACAGTATCTAAAATTGTGACCTCATGATTATTGTAATTGTTATTGTACAGTATTTGTACTGTACTGTATTTTATCATATTTAGCTGATATTAATGTGTGTCTTATCCTTCAACCTAAAACATAATTGATGATTATTTGTTGTCCCTACATTTGTCATATTTTCTGCTGCTTATTTGTATAATATATTTGCACATATTTTTTTCCATAACTTTGTAATTTTTGTACAGGGTAGTATCATATCTAAAACAAATTAGAGAGAAAAACTGGAATAATAAAATAGTAAACACATTTTTATACAGTCAAAAATGCTTTCCAAGAGGCTCATTTCATGATTTTCAATGGAAAAACTGGTAATGAAAAGTGGGTAATTCTTAAGGTACCTATTTTGAATCGCAGTTAATTTCAGCATTCATAGTCACATCTTGTCAAATATTCATCTTATTAAAAAGTTCATAAATTAATTGGTATTGAAAGTTTACATCACTTTTGTAAAGTATAGCCCTATATGTGCATGACTTTCAAGTTTCCATTAATTCATAAGCACAGCAAATTACTTTTAACATGCATACAGTAAGACCAAATTGAATATTGGCACCATTTCTAAACTACACCTCTCAATTGCTCCCTTAGGCAATGCCCTACCTTTCCCAAAGACAGGAGCCAGGTACATCCAGGCCAGGTACACACGCACTGTTCTCTGCACACGGGGGGAATCTTTTCAAATGTTCCTGTCAGATCATACAAGGAGTTTGCTAATAATGCTATAATTGTATATTAAAATATTTTATTCTAAATTTGTTGTTGAAATTGCATAAGATTGGTATTTTTACATTCTTGCAAAGTCCCTAACATGCATAGCATTTTGGGCAGGTCCATAATCTAACATATCAAGTAAGATGTAAAGGTATATTTTAGCAAGGTTTTATATCGACAAATAACTACAATATTAGTTGAGAGGTGACTACATTGGTAAGGCTATATGTCTTAAGTACTGATATTGGGGGAAGTGGATAGTACAAGATAGTAAGTGTGAAGCACAAGGTGTGAAAACTCTGAGGTTGAAATTAGATACTTTTTGGTTTTACTTTTGAATAGGGTATGGGTTGGATAATTTTGTAATTCATCAGGGAGCGAGTTCCAAAGACTGGGGCCCCTTTTATTTGCCTAATGTTTGCATAGATTTAGTCTTGATGCTGGGGATATCAAAGATATATTTATTTCTTGTGTGGTGCTCATGGGTTCTATTACACCTTTCCTTTCATGCCTTTCGATAGGATTAGGTTTTTTTTTCAATTGTATGATGTTCTATCCCTAGTTTAGAAATCTTATTCATTATTTGGTATATATATCCTGCTGAAAGGGTTGAAGGTGCTTATGACATGCTAATATGAGATGATAAATAAAAGTTTAAATTTTCAGGACTATAAAAAACCTTTAGATGACTCAAAACCACCAGTTCTCAATGCGGCCAAGCTTTCTACATTATTTCATAGACTCTCGGAGATTCTTCAGTGCCACACTTTATTCCGTATTGCCTTGGCTGAATGTGTACGGCAGTGGGATAGAGAAGAAAAGATAGGAGATGTTTTTGTCGCTTCTTTCTCCAAGGCCATCGTCTTGGACATTTACAGTGACTTTATTAACAACTTTGCACGTGCCATGGAAGTTGCAAAACAAGAATCTAAAAAAAAATCTGCTTTTGCTGATTTCCTGAAGGTATGTGATCATATATTAAAATTACTGTTAGTATGTCCCAGAAAGCTGGGCTACCATGAATTAATGGTGCATATTATACAGGTACTCTAAGCAACCCGTAAAAAGTTTCTTTATGCATTACCAAGTATTTTAATATTAAAAGAATATATTGTACAGTAGTTTGTTTAAAACAGTCATAGGTAAACTTTATTCATTTTTCACTTCACTTCACTTTCTTAGACAAGCAAAATTAATTCAGCAATGACTCGTGTACAGATGCGTCAGATCACTTCGCCTGATCGACTGTCATTCTTTGGACTTATGGTGAAACCTGTCCAGCGCTTCCCCCAGTTCATCCTCTTTCTCCAGGTAAATGTTTTTAATTATTTTAATTTTGTTTTTGTCATAGGGTGAGGATGTTCAACCAGCTATTTTTGCCATAATTGAGTCTCCTGATTTGTTAGTTGTGCTGTGGAAGATGCAGAAAGTAGTATGGATGTTAATTGTTTTGAATTAATTTAATCATAAAATTAAGTCCTAAATTTAATGTAATGTACCAAATTTTTAGTACTGTAATTGAAATGCTTTTCAATAGCATTGAAAAGGGCCTTCTTGAGGTTATCTTGAGATGATTTCGGGGCTTTTAGTGTCTCCGTGGCTCGGTCCACGACCAGGCCTCCACCCCCAGGCCTCCACCCCCAGGAAGCAGCCCATGACAGCTGATTAACACCCAGGTACCTATTTTACTGCTAGGTAACAGGGGCATAGGGTGAAAAATACTCTGCCCATTGTTTCTCGCCAGCGCCTGGGATCGAACCCAGGACCACAGGATCACAAGTCCAGCGTGCTGTCCGCTCGGCCGACCGGCTCCCTTGGGAATAATTTTCCCAAGGCCCCTTATTATTTTTTTGTATTTTGCACCCATCTACAAAAATCATTAAAACGTGATTAGAGCAATATTAGGAGTGTTATCATTCATACCTAATATATCCCATGTTCTCTGGGCTGATTTACTGAGTAAAATTATAATTTGAACCCGACATGAAGGACAACAACCAAGAGAAGCTGTCTGTAAAATATTTAATTAACCACATCTAGCATATTTCCCACACCCAACCCTTGAAATTTCATTTTCAAAGGAAAGAGGGCCCATATTTTGCCGGTGAAAAACCTTTACCAAAAAAACAAAAACAAAACACAGAATTTGGTAATTAAATATGCTCTGTGACTTTTCCCAAGGCCCAGCTATTTCTTGAAATGTTGCTCCCATCTATGAACTTGGTTCCAACATCCTAAGCAAATCCACACATCTTCTGCTTCAGCGAAGTCTTATTCAATGAATCGGGCGAGTAAACCTGGTGTGTGTGTGTTCCAACCAAAGATTCACCGCAGTGAGGTTTATTAAATTGAGATTCCACTGTATAGGCTGAAACGTAATATGGGTTGTTTTTGCTTTTGCAGGACCTCCTAAAGCATACCCCTCAAGGGCATCATGACCGAATGTCACTGCAGTTGGCTCTTACACAGTTGGAATCACTAGCAGAGATGCTGAATGAAAGAAAACGTGAAGCAGAGCAGTACCAGGCTTTCCGTGACACCCTTAAGCATATCAATACCAAGTTTGCCTTGCGTGGAATACAGGAAGGGAGCCGTTATTTATTACGACAGGATGATGTTCTGCAGCTGGTGAGTGGAAATGTTCATATGGAATTTCCATTAAGATATGCTGTATAGTATTGCATTATATTGACATTCATCAATGATTTATCCTTAGCATCTTCTTTATATCTATAAAAATTTAATTTAATTAACAATTCTGTACAAGTGTTGTATATTCTATATTTAGTTTGTAGAAAATTGCTTATTAGTGAGAAAATATAAATGCCTAAAGGTTCAGTCCCTGAACCCCCCACAGGTTCAGTTTCTGAACCCCCCACAGGTTCAGTTTCTGAACCCCCCACAGGTTCAGTTTCTGAACCCCCCACAGGTTCAGTTTCTGAACCCCCCACAGGTTCAGTTTCTGAACCTCCCACAGGTTCAGTTAATAAAGGGTGAGTGATAAAGCTGGGAATGTAATAAGAATTGAAATTTTCATTTTACTAAAAGAAAAAGATAATGGATACAGAACTGGGAAGAAAAATTCAATTTTTTGTTCATAAAATGGGGAAAACATTAGAAAAAATTAAGGAAACAGAGTAATGTGAGTATTTAAAATAATTTTTGGAGAATTTTGGCTATTAATAAGAAATTAGAAGTAGGTAGTGAGAATACTTTGAAGATCTGAAGGGTGAAATTGATGAAAACTACAGATATGAAAGATTTGCAGATGTGAACTTTATTGGATTTGCAAGTGTGAGAAGAGTGCAAGATAGAATGCCAAGTTATATATCCATGGAAGAAAAATCATATGTTAAGAAACTGAAATGTGGGATAGCTGGTTACTCGTACCTTGATTATCCAGATTATGGGTCTAAGTGTTCAAAATCCACGTAAAGTACTGCAATCAGCATTTGTAATGCTAGGAGGTGTAAATTGGATGTACATTTTATTTACCAGAATTTGTGCAAATATTTATTCCTTTTTATTTACAATAATAAAGCTACATTAATTGTGGCACAGAAACGGGAAAAATGGCAATCAATTTTTAAAGCGGCAATATCTCTACAATGGAACTAGCCTAGGATCTAGTTCATTTCAACTGTCAGGCAATTGCTCTACTGTACAGTATTAACATTATGGCAAATAAAATATAGCTGAACTACCTATGTAATAAAGCCTATTCTAGTAGAGAAAAACATACAGAACTCAAGGTGGGAGACCAATGCTAGCTAGTTGTTACTTTCATGTGACTGAGATAAATTTGACCACCACAATTTTGTGTTTTAAAGGTATTGCAACACAATGTATATTTTTTCTTGAAACATTATTGTAGCCAGCTGCTAGAGTATAAATAAATACATAATAAATTAAATTATTTAACAGGAATTCAACCAAAGTGGCCTGATCAGCAAGAGCAAAGGACGCAGACTCTTCCTCACCAATGATGTGATCATCTGCGTGACAGTAGTGCCAAAAACGACTGATGATTATGGCCACCAGAATGAGCGACTTTCCCTTAAGTGGGCCTATCCTGTTACAGATGTTGAGGTAAGAATGTGCTTCCCTTTTATAAGCAGATATGAAACATTTTACTGTTAAGAATATTAATTATCTGTGGGGGTTCACTAGAAATAAATTTGGAAATGTTTATTTCCTTTGAAATTAGATTGAATTATGAACTGTGATGTTGCTTGATTTTTTTTTTTCATTTTACATAATGTATTGAAGAATTAGTTAAGTTTACAAAATTGTTATCAATCTGTTGCTGTACCTAGAACTAGCTGATAAACATTATCACCTTACCTCGAGTTTACCTTACGTTGGTTCCGAGGATCAATGACCCTGCAGCTCCGTCTCCAACCAGGCTGTAAGATGGAGCTGCTTAAAGCCTAACCTATATTGTGTTAGGAGGATAGAATGTTGCATTAAAATATGGAAAGCTGTAGCATGGGCAAATGTGAATCCTAAAATTAGTGAGTGATTAGATGATATCATTTGGCATTATTGGAAGATGCTGTGAGGGGTGAAGAAATTATGAAAGGTAGTTAGTCTGAGGAGAGGAGGGCAAATAAGCTCCTGCAAGGAAACATGGTTGTGTACTTGCCTAATTGTGCTTTCAAGGGTTGAGCTTTGGCTTTTTGGTCCCGCCTTTCAACTGTCAATCAACTGGTGTACAGATTCCCGAGCCTATTGGGCTCTATCATATCTACATTTGAAACTGTGAAATGAGTCTGCCTCCACCACATGACTGCCTGATGCATTAAATTTACTAACTGTTTAAACACTAAAAAAAACTTCCTTCTAATATGTGTCTGGCTCATGTGTGAACAACTCAAATTGTATGTGAACAAACGTGAATAGTTGTTTTGTTTGGAGGTAACGTATGTTAATTATTGACCATGATAACTTAAGAGCACTTTATACCTATATTGTATTATACTCATATCGTTAGAGCAAATGCCTCCTGTTCTCCATGAAAGTAAGAAGTGTGATGGTGATATACTATTTTCTGTCTCATATAGATTCAAGACACCAGCTCATCTCCAACATTAAGTCGATTACTGGCCTCGGGAGTCAGTAAAACAGGATCTATAAATTCAGCTCGCATTCCAGAGGAAACTTTGGGTCCAAATGTTGATAACTTGTGCCAAGAAATGAATGATCTCATGCATGATTATGAAGTAGTTTCCAGAATCTCGACCCTTGTGTCATCTCTTAGAGGTACCTATGATGTAAGTACCCTTACTGGTATTTCATATTTTTGTTTACCTTGTAGACTTAAAGTATAATGTGCTGTAGAGAAATACCAAATAGGTTTTGAATGCAATTGGTAATTAAAATCACTTTCTAGTTCTAATGATTAATTCTATACCTGTAGTTATTGTCTCTCTCTAAGAATTGTTCAGGTATTGTTGGGTATAGTTTAACATATATTTACCAGTTATAGAAATGAAGAATAACTATTATTGCTATGACAGGGATTGACTGCAGAACACCTACAACAAGTGTCAAGCAGCATCCAGAGAGCTCTACACATTAGAGATGAGCAAATGGCATGGGTAGATGCTTGCTGTTTGCAATTTACAGTCAAGAACAAAGAAGGCCGTGAAAAGGAGACCCTCACTTTCCAGACTAACAATCCTGTTATTAAGAAGGATTGGATTGTAGGTAAGTGTACAAAAATACAGCTTATGTCTGTGTAAATATTGAAAATAAATATTTTGATTTGCATGTCTTCATTGTTATAGGATTTGCTGCTCGTAATATCCCCAGATTAGATCTTGCTGGTTTTGATGTATATTAGTGTCCTTCATCTTCATTTGTTATAATTTTTTGCCTTAAGGTATCTTACAGCTTTGGTTTTGTATACAGTACAGCTCTAACCCATGAAAGTGAAACTTGGATATGGAAAAAACCGTGTTCAAGAGCAGTAGAAATTTGTTTTTGCTAAAAGCAAGTTATAAGGACCTATGGATCTAAGAATCTAATGTGGGTTGGGAATAGGTGTGAGGAAAGTATGGGAGACATGTGGTATGAATGAAATGTGGAGTAATGAAGTGGCTGAAGCTTGATACACTGAGGTGGCATGGACTATTTACAGGTATTTATCTATTTATTTATTTATATACAAGAGGGTACACTGGGTTTATGAAAGTATAGAGATATGAAGTTTTACTTTCTTGTAAAGCCATTAACATACCTTGAGGTTACCTTAAGGAGCTTCCGGGGCTTAGCGTCCCCGCGGCCCGGTCGTCGACCAGGCCTCCTGGTTGCTGGACTGATCAACCAGGCTGTTGGACGCGGCTGCTCGCAGCCTGACGTATGAGTCACAGCCTGGTTGATCAGGCATCCTTTGGAGGTGCTTATCCAGTTCTCTCTTGAACACTGTGAGGGGTCGGCCAGTTATGCCCCTTATGTGTAGCAGAAGCGTGTTGAACAATCTCGGGCCTCTGATGTTGATAGAGTTCTCTCTGAGTGCATAGCATAGCATTTCAGGCAGTAATCTATACAATTTACTATAATGCCTTTGAATTGTTGGATACTGATATATACACAGGTGAAAATACAGGATCATATGATAGTTCTGATCCTTCAGGGGTTCTCATTGTGATTTGGTTAGGACAGAGCCATCTTGAACTACAATAAGGGGTGTTCGTGATTCATGGTCTCTTAATATCTCGAGAACAATGTTTACTTTACAATCCCAATGTGAATGTCTCCTTTATTTTAAGCCTCAAGAGGTTTCAGCAAATTCTAAATGATGCTTTAGCTATTAAGATGGATTTTGGAGTAAAACATTTAATAAAATTAAGAAGTCTAGATGAATGGATTGAACATTTCATTCTCTCATAAGAATGGTCATCAGACTGCATTGTTGGCTGGTATGACTACCTAAGCAAGCTAGGACTAATAAAGTCCTACATTGCAGTGCACATGACAAAAAAAAAAAAAAATAGCCACAAAACTAATGAAAAAATATATGGGGATTCTAGTACAGGAGACAGTGCCAGATGGCAATTAATCATGCAAGGGTTAATGTAAGCCTTTCTAATATAAGGGTTAATGTAACATTACAAAATTAATATAAATAAGAAACTAATATATGACTTTTAAATATATCCCTGTAAATAGGCTATAATGACTTATCTTTTGCCACCAGAACTGCGATTAGCACAACTGGCTCTTGATAGCTCCAATTCTCCGGCATGGGATGTACCAGAACAGGAAAAGCGACCCTCTACTAAAATGCCACTTTTTGTAAAAACGCTTCCAGTCTTTTCCTCTCCTCATGACACGGAGGTAAGTTCATAGTGTTAAACAAGGAAATTATTTTATTATTTATTACATATTGTATTTTTATTATACTTGTATTGACACGATTTAATTAATTGGAATTAAAAAGTATATACAGTATCCAAGTTAATTAATGGAGGACTTTTGGTGTGATGGTCATGTACAAGTATGGGGTTAGCAGAGTTTTGCGAAATGTTATAAAATACTTGTGATGTAGCTCGTAGTGCATGTGTAGGACTTGATATTACTTTAGGTGTATGCCATGATTATGTGACGTCATCTTGGTGACGTGAGATCAAGGTAGGACTGTTAGAGGAAGATGTAAACCTAATATAGAAGTCTGAGCAATTGGAGCAAGTTAAAATATTTATATATGCAAGTGATAACATTATTTTAGCAAAGTAATACATATTTACCCCAGACAAATTAATTTTGTTTTTGAAGTTTGAGAAAAATTTCAGTTAACTCTCTCTGATATTATTTTCTTGTCCCTGTATATGTCAAGGATTGGAATACAACTTAAAATTTTTATAGCTTCTTCTCATCCACAGATAATGCATGCATTCCTGTATTGGGCAGTTCTATTTTTTTCTTTTTGATTCAATTAAATTTTAATGTTTGAAAATTAACACTACAATCCTTTCACAGGTTAAATGTGGGTGCTGCTACACAGTGACGCTCTCACGCCCAAGTAGGTTGTCAGGAACAGGTCGTCACCACACGTACCTGTGGTTGTGTTCCAGTGATGGCGTCTCCTCACACATCACCATCTACCTCATGCAACAGGTAGGATAGGAAAAGTTCATAAATGAAGCTCCAGTGCTCTAAAAAATTTATATACAGTCCCTAATACTTCAGAATAATATAGTGTTTTTGGTTACAAATAACACCCTAGGAAGTTTTACAATGCTGTACTGTGTATGGAATGTTTCTCAACAATTTTGTTTAACTTGTGCAAGATATTGGAATATTCAGTACTTATTAGTCCAGTCGTATCTGCTCACAAAAGGTGCTACTGTTCACTACCTTTAAAAATGGTTTTCTTACACTGTCTTCATTGTAGCATAACATTTGTTATATGAATAAGAACTGCATTGCTGACTTGCACTATGTTGACGCATTGTAATATTTGAACATAATGAAAACATTGAACATTAATATTGATTTGACATGCGATTGCAATGCTTTTGGTTATAATAGTTAGTGCTCGATGGACAGTTAGCAAAGGATGAAGATAGTTAATCTTCAGTCTATACTGAAGTGGTTGTGTTATAATGTAACGTTGTTCTCATAGCTCAAATAAAAGCACACTCCTGGTCGCTTCTCTACCAGGAGAACACTTGTGGGGAAATTAGTGAACTATCTCTTCCTCCACATTCTTCTTTTACTGACAGTTTTTCCATTCTTTGCCTGCCTACTTGTCTTGACTTTCTTCATGTTGTTTCCTTCCGCTTTCCCACTTATATTTGCCTTTTTAATTAGACTTTTCACATGTTTTCTGGAAGCAAATGGTAACTGATTCATCTATGTAATGTCTATACCAGCATGTGGGGAGCTTTAATACCCAGTGAATGCTTCAAGGTAAGGGAGTTGCTTATGGGGATAAAACACTGAAGACAAATTAAGTTTTACTTTGGTCTTTTTGGTAAAGTACCGTAAGTCTTAAAATCTTGTAAAGAATTTGTTTTGCTGAATTGTTCTTTATTTAAACTGTTTATATCATGACGATGGTTTGCTTTAAAAGACTTACCTTAATTAATAAAATTGAATAAACTTTTTTGCAGGTTGGTCTAAGGGAGGTCATTCGTGTTGACATGGTTGAAGTGTGTGTGACATCATTGCAGCATGTCCCTGGTATCACCACTACTGATGAGCCCTCATTGCGAGCTCACACAGTTTGGATGGGCACACACTCGCACAGGTATGTATGTGAGAAAGATTAGTGTTAGTCAGTATTAGAAAGTGTATCGGCAACACCATACACCATATATGGTGTTGCCAATATATGGCAAAATAAGATATGTATTTTGGAAGCACTTTTATATTTAATGGCCATGACCAGAGTCTTCTGGAGGAGAACAGACTGCATAACTGGCCCAGAGGGACATGGGACCCCAGGAGAGTGGGAGACTACGTCAAAGTCTAGTAGAAGGATGAGATAAAGGAGGGGAGATATGCCAAATGGAGTACATAGCTCATGAATGTAACAAGTCCACAGTACATACTACATAGGAAAGGTAGAAGAGAAGAGCAAGTAAAGAACAGTTATTTCAGGTGGTGATCAAGATGGAGCCAGATTGGAGTTGTGGTACAAATTATCCATAAAGGCTTCCACCCTTCCATGACATAATTGTAACTAAGAAGGTAAAGGACCACCTGGAAGAATTTCAGTATGCTGTGGATATTGAAAGAGCAGATGTACTATGTAACCCTGTAAGGTCTATACTATGTCTTTATAATGTGGGAAATTTCCAGAAGCCTCGACAACTACAAACGTGGGGACCCATATTCAAGAAAGGATACAGACATTTAGACTAAAGCTGCGGACCTATATCGCTGACATGCATTACATCTTGTTATTACAGAAGAAAAGCCCTTCTGGCTCCTCCTTATAAATGGTATTCATATAAAAGAAAATGGGGAATTTCTGGTCTGGCCTTCAGTAGTTTCTCTGTACATGCACACAACAAGAAGGCCTCAGGCTTTGCACAAGCCTACTGAACACAAGACCAGAAGCTTGTGGGCTCATAGAGGTAAGAGGAGTACAAAGATCTGAGATAGATCCAAAACAGATATGAATAGAGAGGGAGAAGATGGAAACAAGGATAATAATAGTAGTAGTAGTAGTTTACTCCATGTCAACAAACCATGCACTAGTAGTCGAGCATATCACCAGGTTCGTAGTTAAAGTCACCAAGGTGACTACCTGACTTCTCGCTTGCATGCCTGGTATCAAACACATCGCTGTACCTCTGCAAGGATTGACACCGTTTTTTCTTGCCCTAAGTTGGGTTATCATTTCTTGGGGTATGTCTAGTGTAGTATTTCATTTAATCACACTTTACAATTGTGGTTATGCTTCCCATCTTTTGTGTCCTCGGCTGATTAGTTCATCCCAACTTTGTTTTAGGTTTACCTTTGAGGGATTAAGGTTTCCCCCCCCTTTTGAGGGCTTCTCTCGGGTTGTCTTGATGTAAGTGGAGCATGAGAAGTAGTCCTCATTTCAGTCCTGTTGATGGTGGGAGTTAAGAATGGTATACAGTACTAACTTGAGTCCCTAAAAGACATTTCCTAGCTTTATTGGTATTATTTTTCCTCTATTTGGTCCTAAATTTTATCAGCCCAGCATTCACCTTGTAGGACAGCAAAGTTTCTTACTCTAAACTGCTGCACCTTTTCCTTCAATTTTGTTAATATTCTTGCTGATGGCAGAATATGATGGCTTCTTGCATGCTGTACCTTATGTGCAAAGTTTTGAGACATTATCTCAAGCTAAAAAGAGGTAGCTAATGGTAGTCATTAGAGATGTCTCCTGGTGTGGGAAAAGTATAATAAATTAGGGGTTAGAACAGTGTAAAGAAGTTACATCTGAAATGCATTTTTAGTGTTAAGAATATGGAGTAAGAAATTCAAATGTCTTGGAAATAGAGGGAATTATCAAGGAAAAGCACAAAACTGTTATGACTAAATTCTTAAGGAGTGTTAAGAGGGTTGGGGATATTGAATGAATGATGATAATGTGGAGAATAGTGTGTGTTTAACAGAGTTTGAGGTAGGAGGAGAAGGTTAAGTAGAAAATGATTAGATATGAAAAGCAAGTGTGGATAATACACAGGAAGTAATGGTAAATTAGTTTAGGTGGAATCAGTTAACACATTTTGCAGATGACAAATCACTGGAAGCATACACTCCACTTAGCCATACAAAGTAGTAGGAAAATGTTGTTTAAACATTTGTAGAGTTTGTGCTGTATCTACATGATACTGGTTAGTTTGGAAGATATAATGAATGGATGTGTGTTTTTTCTTGTGTTTTGACTTTTTACTCTGGGTTGTTGCATGTTTATCCCATGGGAATGGGGTGGCGGTTGTGATAGCTTATATGATAAAGGTATTTTAGTTACGGGCAGCAGGATTTTCCTAGACAATAGGTTTGGATCCCATTTAGTCTTCACTTTCGTATTCTGATCATGCTAAAACGTATCATTTGTACTCCGACAGTAAACGTTCTGAAGACTAACTGCTATTCACGAACATTTATATGTTCATTGCAGTTGTGCATAATCTTCAAGAACTTTAATTTTATTTTTGCATGTACTGTATTCTAGAGAATTCATATGTGAACATTTTTACCCTAAATTTATTGTTATAACCCAACAAATACTGTAGGTTAGACATCATCAAATTACTGTACAAATTTTTTGCATTGCTGAAATGCAAAAAATCTAGGAAATGTACAGATGTCGTTTGTAGTATGTGAAATTCCTCGTAACGTGGAAGTAGCAGCTACATAATTTCTGATATTGCTACAAAACCTACGAATACCTCATGGATGTTCTGACCTTTTATAGTTAGACTATTTTTTGTTTATCATGTCAATACAAGGATTTATTTACTCTTAAATTTGGATTTGAACTTCTTGTTCTGCTTTCTATTAACATTTTGTTTCTGTGAACAGATTATTGGTGTACAGTGGATTAGACCCAGAGCGCCAAACTGAATTAGGTGCCACTACTGTGCCAGCTGCCATTACAACTATCAAATATCACTGTGACCAGGTGTGTGTCATGTTAGATTAGCTGTAATTTTGTTTGGAGTTCAAAATAATATTTATAGTATTTGTAGAAACATTTAAAATGTGTCACTTATACATTAAAGTACAACTTAAAGATTGGGCAGAATTAGAAAACTTTGCATAATTTGATTGACGCACATGAGCTGTTGTAGGACTAAGAATTACTTTTCAAGCACTAAATAAAATATTAAATTCTGTAGTCTTTAAGGCAGTATTAAAGAACATGATGGGATTAAATAATGTAGCCAAAGAGATTCAACTGTGAATTAAAAATAAAATGCATAATAGAAATATTCCAATATTAAGGCCAAATTAGAATGTTAGGAGAACAGAAAGAGATGGTAACTGGGATGAGTTAATGGTACGGTACTAGAAATTAGTAGTACAGTACTCAAAAAATTAAGGTGGGGAGAGAGGATGTTCATTATTGGGGACGGAAAGACAATTGGCCTTATTGAGGTCCCCCTTGGCCAGTGACTGGTATTCTCAGAATATACCCCCACAAGTTGCCTAACTATTAGGTGAATAGGTACATTAGGTGTAAGGAAACTTGCCCAAACATCTTGTCCTGCACAGAATTCATATCCTTTACCATTCAGTTGTGAGCCAACTGCTGTGACCAGTGAGCTACAGGACATCTTGGTAAAGTGAAGGAAGGAAGGGGTGTTTAAGTTAAAATGACATGTAGACTATACATAAATATACATTTCTTGATTTTTTTGTGAGTGAAGAAGTGTTCCAGCAAGTCATCAAAAAGATTTAATAAGGAGCTTTTAAGCACTCGTGTGTGTGTGTAATTTTAATTGATTGAGAATCATAGTTATATTAACAAGTACTGTACCTGTAATTAGAATACTGTACTGTACAGTAAAGAGTAAGTAAAGACAATCATCAGTAGAACTGTGAGGTGATGAAATCCAGGCAACCCTTCTTCAGTTAGGCCAATGAAACGTGCTTGTTAACCTATTTTGGAGTAAACTCTTAATAATATCTGTGTTGCAGGTGTATGTAGGTTTGTGCAATGGGTGTGTTCAAGTATTTCGGCGAGGTGCTGATGGTGCCTGGCAAATACGTGAACCTCTGAACATTAATCTTGGCACGCAACTAGTCTCGGCACTCCTTCCAATCAACACCCATGTTTATGCTGCTTGTGGGGACCATGTGCATGTCATTGACTGCTTTACAGCAGAAGTTACTGTAAGTGATTATTGCATTTGCTTATTCCATCCTTCATTTTCTTCCCATATTGTAATGCTCTCTCTTTTATCCTCATTTCTGGCTATATTATCTAGCTATGGTACATAAATTTCTTACTGAAATCTATCTACCTCACTACCCAGCTCTCTTTACTGTACCATTATATTCTATATGAGCTTGTGATTGTCTTTAGTTTGGTTTTTAGTATCTATTGCCTGCAACTTTGTCACTTTTTGTGACAAATTTGCATCTTTGTCTAACACTAGCTTTATTCCTATTTTATTTGCTGTTAATAGGGGTAATTTACGGGGGAAGAAATTAAGGAGAGATTTGGCAACTTTTCTCCAAACATCTTCTGGGTTGCTAACGTGTACATGTTGTATTTGATTACAAAATGCATCTTTTATACACTAGAAAATGTATAGTATACTGGTTTTTTGTCCTTGCTCCTCTTTAGCCCCATTACCCTTTTTTTTCAGTTTGGCATACTCTAATTATCACACACCTTTGGGGGCAGAGGGCTTTTCTGAGGTGGTTGCATTGTTTTCCCTTGTCCCTTCTTTGACTTTGTATCCAGGCTGAATGGAAATTTTCTTTGTACCGACTCTAGAGGAAAATTGCCAAAACTCCTTACACTGAGGACAATTTTCACCATTCCTCACCCACTCAGAAGTGCCAAAACTGTCAAAGCTAATAATTGGGTCACTATCTTACCCAGCAGATTACTAGAAATATAGTAATGTTCCCATGATATCCTCTAATGTCATGGGAACTCCTATCCTTCACTCTGATGCATGCTTTCATTATATACCTCTAGTTTCCTTATACTAATCATAACTTACTAACTGAAGGAATAGATTTTAAAATAATATTATCCTTGGTACAAAACAGTAATCAGAATTGTGGTTCCAGATGAACTTGTTTATATCATTTTTACTTTTTTCCAGTTTATTAATGCCAAAATGTTTTCCTGCACATAATAAACAGCAACCAGTACACATTGCAATTAGATTTTTTTTTTTTTTACGGTATTGCTTGCAGTTATGCTTCAAGATAACAACAAAATTAAATTTTCAAAATTACAGACTGTAAAGTAGCAATTATGCTGCATTTGTTTTACTAATATGTATAGCCAAAGTTAGCATTTGTCTAAGAAATATAATTATTAGGCTAACTGTACAATGTCACTTACACAACTTACTTATTTGCAGAAGAAATTCTCTGTACATCACGAAAGTGCAGGAGGTGTACAACTGATGGCACATTCTGGCATTGGACTATGGATTGCTCAGCAGAACACTTCAACTATCTGTCTCTATCACACAGAAACCTTTCGCCATCTACAAGACATCAATGTTGCTTCAAATGTTAATCGTGTGTTGGGTGAAAGAGGTATTGCTGCTTCCAATGTTAATGTGACAGCATTGTTAGCCTCAAGGGGTCTTCTGTGGGTGGGGACAAATGTAGGTGTTGCACTTACTATACCCCTACCACGTTTAGAGGGTGTACCAATAATCAGTGGACGTGCAAATATTAGTTACCATGCTCATAATGGACCTATAACTTTTCTTTTAACACTACAACCTCATGCCAGACCACAGGCTTCTCTTCCCGATTTGCGACCTGGTTCGCGCCCATCTTTACAAGATAACCACAGTCAATCACAGCAGCAAGATGGTGCTCGGACTCATGTTTCTGATGAAATCCGAAGCTTTATGGCCACACCAACACTTACATCACGACTTGAAAAACAGCAGAGTGATGGCAGTCTTGTACCACCAAAACGTGTACCTCCTCGTTTGCGGCAACAGCTTAGTTCCCCCGTGATACTGCGGCGTAAACCACGAGATGCCCAGCAGCATGTGCGTCGCCTTTCCAAAACACTACCCCGTGGTTTAGGGCTTGGAACTCTTGCAGGTAGTCAAGAGTGTGATGTATATGGCCTTTATGGAGATTTATTAAATGTTCATGAATATGAAGATGAGCCCTTGGTAATTGGAGAAGGGTTTTTGCTGTCCCGTTATGACTCCATGCGTCGTAGTGACCCAGAACTGGCAGTTCCTGCTCAAGTTAGTACGTTGGATCGGCGGGTTAGACTTAAAGCTTCACGTCCTCGTTCCTTGGATTTGTCAACCTGGTCCATGGATTCGAGGGCTTCCTCTGCTTGTACCACATCCTCAGGGTCAGAAGATGGTACTGGTGGTATGAATACTGTTATTGTCTCAAATAATATATCTGCAGCTACACACGACTCCATACCTCTATCGGGAACAAGTGGTGGCACCACGAGCAGGTCCACCATATCTGGACGTCGCAAAGAAAACGACCAATCACGCACACTAATGACACTGATGGGTGGACGTGGCTACATCAATTTGAGGCAGTTCCAAGATGTCCAACCTCCATACTCCAATGACAAAGATGCACATATTGTCGTGTGGGAGATGAAGCTTTAACCAATCTTCTGTAGACCTTTACTTCTAATAAATTATTTATCTTATTTTCCCATACTTTCTACAAACCCTGTGCAATTGTGATAAGTTTTGTGTCCATACTTAGAATGAATCTTGTATGTTACATATTTAGACAAGTGAAAATAGCTTGTTTGACTCGTTAATGGTTTATGTCAAGCTTCCAGCACAATAATATTTGATGTCTGTATATTATATAAAGGCTTATATCAAGGCTGCTTTATATGAAGAAAATATCTATTTACAGTAACAGTATATTGCAGGATGTTAGTGTAAATATCAGATGAGCTGCTATTTTAAATACATTATTTTAGTCAATACTGCAGACCTTGTTAACCTGCTATGAAAGTATTGTATAAGTGTATGTAATAAAAGATATTATTTTGAAGGTGGTTTTTATTCTAGTCATAGTAACTTGCATGCACAGCTTGAAAACTGAGATGGCAAAGGTGATATTGGACTATATTAAAAGTGCAATATGTTAACATTATAACTTGAAGTGTATAAAATTCTCAATGATTATACAATCTAAATTTTTCACTGCCAAAGTACTATACAATTGCCATTCTGGCAAATGTGTTTGGCTCCATTTCAAGAAAATGATGTACTGTATTCAGATAAGTTTAAAAGATAAATGTAAGTGCATGCTGAAATGATTAGTTTCTCAAAATGGTTACTAATGTTAAAATACTATAATAATTGTGGACCTTGTAATCACCTTGCAACTTTTGAGTAGGAAGAGGATATGAGCATGAAGCAGCAGCACTCCAGTCTATAGCTTCACTAGGAGACACTCCATCCACTTTAACCCCTGCATTTGTTCCATGTGACAAATTCATGGTGCAGTTATGTACTGCATTACCTGAAAAGTTTTAAAAATGAGAACAATGTCATAACATTGCCAAATTCAATAATTTATGAAGAAAAAAAAAATTGTCATACCACTGTTGTCTTTAAGAGCTATGCACAGCGCAGTGGTTAAAGGTGACGGCTCTGCTTGGTTACACAAAATCTACATCTTGCATTTAGCCTTTGTGCAAGGGTGATGGAACTTTCACATGACAAAAAGAAATGAATGAAATACTGAGGCTACAATGCAATTCTGCTTTTAGTGAACCCCCTAAACCCATTGATGCAAATTTTTTATGAATGCAATACTAATGTTTAACTATATACATATCAGATGTCACCTTAACCCCCCTGGTTTTTAAGTAGCTATAGATAGTGAACGTATGTTTACGTGTACTTACTTGGTTGATTAGATACTCTCGAGTTTACCAAAATATCAAAACCACTAGTCTTGGTTACAGCAGTCGGTTTGTTGGCAGTGTAGCGACGTGTCGTAGAACTTGAGCCAAAGCCTGAAGCAGGGCAGACAGCTGAGCGAGGCTGGGGGGTAGAGCATGCAGATGCAGGGCAAGAGTCGTAGAGCGTGGCACTCTGAATGCGGGCAGAGCCGAGGAGCTCGATGTGGGACGAGTGTGTGGAAGCTCAATTCGACCGGAGTCTGGCTGGCTGTTTATGTCAAAACAGAAATCTTTTGGAGTCAGTAGGAACTGGATACGCTGAGTGCTACATTGTTGTTGGTGAGGTTGACAATGTGTGGTATCTCTCAAGCGTCTATAATGAACCACTCTTGAAAGACTCATCATTATTCGATTGACTGATGAAGACAAGCCACTCAAGAGGTGCACGGGTATGAATAGCCCGTAAATCATTCACTTATCGATTGCTTATATACAGTAATCAGACCACACCTCACTTCACGATCCCCTAATAGGTTAGATGCAGTGTTACCTGGAATTAGGGAAGAGGTATTAGTGGATTAAGTTAATGAGAGTTTGGAGCGAGTACATTATTGACATAATATACTTGCTACAATAGCATGCCCATGCACTCTGCACAAGGCCCAAATTCCTGGAATTCTATATTCATCAAGATTTGCACAAAAATATTAATACAGGCCCTAAACATCTTTTGAGATGGACCCTAGATACGGGTGTTATCCCCTAATATTTAAAACAGTGGATATCATACTACTTCACAATGGAGGTAGTAAGACAAATGTAAAATATTATAGACTAACAGTTCTAACCACACAAAAATTTGTGAGTGCCAAGATGATCGCAAAACATATGAAATCAGTGTCTACATAACCCTGGTCAACATAGCTTCAGAACATGGTGCTCCTGCCTTCCACAATTGCTAGTCCACTATGACAGCCATAGATGCCATGGAAGATAAGCAAAATGCCAAAGTAATATATATATATATATATATATATATAGTTTTACAAATGCATTTGATGTGTAACCATGGTGTTATACACACAAAAAGAATTACTGTACTAGCAAAGTAGAGAGATAGGTCTTTAATTTCCTAACAGACCCAGAGTGTAATAGTCAACAAAGTAAAATCTGGAGCATCCACCATGAAAAGCTGTCCCCCCTTCCTGGTCTGTGCTTGCTCCACTAGTTTTTCTCATTCTCATATCAGAAATAGACAAGGATATAAACTATAGTACTGTATAATCCTTTGCAGATGACTCTAGGATTTCCATGACTTGGACAATACTGTATAGAGGACACTCAAAACCTCCATTCCGATGTTAATCAGGTTTTTCAATGGGCCACAGAAAAAATCTGATATTAATGGAAGTTCCAGCTACTTCGCTATGCAAAAAACAAAAATATAGAAATGAAAACCACATATTTGCAGTCCTCGTGGTGCAGTGGTAAAACATGCTTTGGCCTGGGTTCGTAACCTGGTCAGGGAGGATTGACTGGGTGCCAATCCTTAACTGTAGCCTAACTTAACACCTGTTTATCCAGCAGGGAATGGGTACGTGGCTGTTAAAAAATAATTGGCGGGTTGTATTAGGGGGCAAAATTAGGATTAAGGACCTGCCCAAAATGCTATGCATGCTAGTGGCTTTAGAAGAATGTAAGAACTCTTGTATATATAAATAAATAAATGATAATGCAGTCAAACTACATTACTGAAAGAAAAGGCAATATAAAAGATTTGGGAGTAATGAAGTTAGAAGACTTTACATTTGAAGAACACAAAGTAGTTGTCACAACAGTAAGCAAAAATGACTGGATGGATAACAAAAACCTTTAGAAAGAGAGAGAGATGCTATACCAATTATACTTCTTAAGACACTAATGCTCTCTACAGTGGAATAATGTTGCACACTAAAAGCCCCAGAAAGCTGGAGAAAGTGCTAACCTAGACAATGTGCAAAGGTCTTTCACTGCCGGAACCCATTCAACATGCCTAAACTATTGGGACCACTTAAGAATTTTCTAGAGTGCAGGTGCAAATTAGATGCATAATAATTTACAACCTAAAACTATTAGAGGAACTGGTTCTAAATCTCACATACAACTAACACATTTGCACATCCTGCCATGAAACCAGGAGGCATGGCAAGATGTACAAAATAGCTCTGATGGAAAGCAGAGGTGTAACAGGTTACCGAGAGAGAACTATCAGAATCAAGGGCCCAAAACTTTTCAACACTCGCTATACACACAAAATGCATAGCTGTCCCACCTTCCAGTGATCAAAAGATAACTTGATAAACCACCTCTCTAGGATACCTGATCAACCAGGCTGTGATTCAAATGTCAGTCCATGAGCAGCTGCATCTAATAATCTGGTTGAGTAGACCACCAACTAGGAGGCCTAGTCAGAGACCAGGCTGTGGGGACATTGACTCCCAGAACCAACAACAGGTGGGACCGGCAGGTAGACAAGTGAACTTTAATTCTGAAGCTCTGCAAAGCCTTCATATTGTGGCTTGACATCTACCAATTTATAGGTTTGTCATGTTCTAGCCTATTATGTAACACCATGACTACAGTATTCTTAAGGAGTGCAACTGTTCTTTCACAATTATTCAAATTAGTGGGTAATTCTGCAATCAGAATTTCTTTGGCATCCCCAGTCATCCTTGAAGGTGACTGAATTTCATTACATCCTCTAGGTTGGTTGTCATTTACAAAGGTGCTGGATGTGTCAGAAATCTGTCTCTGGCACAAGTCTCTGTCACCACTAAAAGTGGGTAAATTTATTAGTGGTAGAAGTAGGGTAGATAGATAAGATAAACTGACACCTTCAATTACCTTACCTTGGTTACCTTGAATTGTTTACGGGGCTTAGCATCCCCGTGGCCCGGTCATTGACCAAGCCTCCTGTTGCTGGACTGGTCAACCAGGCTGTTGGACGCAGCTGCTCGCAGCCTGACTATGAGTCACAGCCCGGTTAATCAGGTATCCTTTGGAGGTGCTGGTCAAGTTCTCTCTTAAACACTGTGAGGGGTCGGCCAGTTATGCCCCTTACGTGTAGTGGAAGCGTGTTGAACAGTCTCGCGCCTCTGATGTTGATAAGAGTACCTGTTGCACCTCTGCTTTTTCAACTGGGGTATTCTGCACATCGTGCCATGCCCCCTGGTCTCACGTGGTGTTATTTCTTTGTGCAGGTTTGGGACCAGCCACTCTACTATTTTCCATGTGTGTATATATAGTGGTAGCACAATTTCCATTTGTATATATAGTGGTAGCACAATTTCCATGTGTATATATAGTGGTAGCACAATTTCCATGTGTATATATAGTGGTAGCACAATTTCCATGTGCATATATAGTGGTAGCACAATTTCCATGTGCATATATAGTGGTAGCACAATTTCCATGTGCATATATAGTGGTAGCACAATTTCCATGTGTATATATATAGTGGTAGCACAATGTTTAATTGTAGATTAGATTCCAGTCTTAGTAAACTTAATTCTGGCATCATAATTGCCATACATTCTCGCTTACAAAATTGCCTATCTGATGAAGCTGTAAATGCCAAGACATTTCAGTTCAAAATCCAGTTGAAATAAATACTCAGGAATAAGTGGGTAGACCCTTGACAAGCTGCCACCTTCCTGCCCTCATTAAGGTAACTAGAGATGGTGGCCCTCAATTCAGGTAGATTCCTTCTCAATAAGAAAGAGTTCATGTTAACTATATTTCTGCTCAATTATCTGCAGCTAGGATTACAGTTTTGTAAGGTCATTGTGATATCTTTCCTGAAAGACACTAAGCTTCTCATCTAGATTGCTCCAAGTTAAGCAGTTTTGACCAGTTTTAATTAACAATTACTCAAAAAATGTGAAATCCTGCTTTACTGGTCAAATAAAACAAGATCCGAGTTGGAACTCTGAAAGCTGCATGGTAATCACCTACTAGTGCTTGGAGGGATCGAGCTTCTGCTCTGGTCCCACTTCTCACCTGTCAATCAACTGGTGTGCAAGTTCCTGAGCCTATTAGGCTCTATCATATCCACATTTAAAACTGTATGGAGACTGTCTTCACCATATCACTGCCTAGTGCATTCCATTTGTTAACTACCCTGACACTGAAAAAACTCTAAGGTCTCAGTGGCTCATTTGAGTATAGTACTTACACCTGTGTCCCCTTATTCTGAACAAGGTGTGTTACAACCCTAGTGTTATGATATTGCTATAAGCAATACTGACCTTTCTAGTATTGAAATTTCATTAACAAATTCTAACATTAGGTCATTAAATTAAATATATTTCATAGAGTTGGGTGTTCTTGGTTACTGTCTGAATAGATTTCTGATCTACAGATTGGCTCTCTCTCCGAGCAGATTACACTTATCCTGTATTTGCTTTATGATAAAAATTGACAAATTAAATAATTCAATTCAAATAATATACTGAAGTAACTATCTTGCTGGCATATTTTAGGTCAAATTAACTTTGTTGGATCAACAAATTACCCTGTAGTGGAATAATTTGGTATGTCATGCAAGCTGGCCCACCACTTTTAATGGTATTTCCAGTGACCTATATGTATATTAAGCCATTGTAATGTTTTTAATGGCTAATAGGAATTTGTGCAATCTATGTACCATTTGTAACAGAGTTGAAGTACTGTATATAATAATTTATTTATAAAAAATACAAAGAATCAGATTGTAGTGGTTACTTAGTAGGTATAGTATTTGCATATTTTATAAAGCCACTAGTTATAAAATGCTGAATGCTGGCTATGCTGACTAAACAAACAAACCACATGTAGATATGGATGCCTAGTTTTAAAAGTCAGCTTGTAAGTGTACAAGTTAAATTCTTAGCACTCATGAATTAGGCACTGGAATCAAACCAGAACACAAGAAATGTATGGATGTATACTAGAATAATGTCTACACTAATCTATTGTTGGGTACTGTTCTGCTTATAACTGGCTTCTTACCAAGCTTCATTGGTACAAGCGATTCATTTCCATCTCACTGGTGAATGGGAGAAATGCTTCAGTGTCACTGGATTCAAGAAGTGGGCCACAAGAACCTGTAAAAGGAAAGTAATTTACATTTGTGGTGAAGCAGGTACATTTAATTTTGATTTAATCAAACATCTGCAATAAATGCTCTTGTTATTCTTTATCTTTGCAGCAACCTAATTGGGCTTTTGTTCTGTTACATGTTGGCACTGCAGTTACCATTGATGACTCACAGTGTAGCAGTGAAATTCAAATATATAGGGCCTAGTTGACTTTTTCTACCCTTTAATTCAGATGCTGGTGCCATCCTTCTATGTTGTAGATGGTTCTCACCAGTCTTCTGAATGCACACCAGTTTCCAACTTGCCCCCCACTCCCCACACAATATTGCAGAGCCACAGACTATGTAATATATCAACCGATTCTATTAGGCAGAATTATGAGCCGAGTTTTTTTTTTTACAAACCTCATCCCTAATTCTTGAAGGCTTCTATCTAACTGTCTGCATCCAATGGAATGTGCAGCCATGGAGGTTACATCTGTCAGCAGCTCCTGTATGCTCCAGTACTACAACCCACAAGGCCAGCTTGATATCCATCAGAACCAGGAAGGTGGCTGAGTGGACAGAACATTGGCCGCGTGATCCTGTGGTCCCAGGTTCGATCCCGGGCGCTGGCAAAAAACAAGGGCAGTTTCTTTCACTCTGATACCCCTGTTACCTATCAGTAAATAGGTACCTGGGAGTTAATCAGCTGTCACGGGCTGCTTCCTGGGGGTGGAGGCCTGGTCGAGGACCAGGCCGCGGGGACACTAAGCCTTGAAACCATATCAAGATAACCACTTCAATATTAGACCCATCAGATGACCATGGGTCACCTTTACTTAGCTTAAGGGTATCAGTATCCTGAAAGGCACAGTTTGGATGGACAAACAAAGCCAAATAATGAGTCATAAGAAATGTGCATGCACTATACCTCCTGGTAGCAAAATTAAGAAACTTATCAAGCAAATTAGTTTATATGTTTTTGAGTTAAGTTTTTGTAGGGAAGTGTATCTAGTCTCTCTCTTGGTAAACTTAGCCATACATCACCTTATTTGGCCTGCATAGAAGGCACAGCCTTCAGCACTGAAGGCATGAGCAACAAGGCTCATGAACCTTTACCCTGCTCAGTGTTTGTCAGCTGCCCTACAATATGATTTGGTTATACTCTATAATAAGTTTTATATGTACGTATTTTATTTTAGGTTAAGATTTTGTAACATTCATTGCTGATTAAGTCATTTTTTTTTTTGTATAAACCCAATGTGTGGTGTTTATATGCTGCAATGTTATAGTTGTTACCATGTAAAGAATTTTTCTTCAGTGCTTGTGTACATACATGTTATTTATACTGTATATCACATGGCATAAAATTAACTTGTTAAGAATTAACATTTTGTTAGCTTATTTAATCTAGCTAGAATTAGAGGTATACCAGTACAGGTAACTACATTTTGACCAATACCATTTCAGACTTAGCTTTTATGCTAACATTGTAGATGTTAGAACAGTCAATACTGTAATGCTTCATGTGATCTCAGGGTTTGTAAATGATGAAATAGTAACTTGGTAAACTTGTAACATTTATAATATTGGTAATAAACATAGCATAACTATTCCTGCAGATTCCACCAAGTGAAACCTAAGTGGATTTTCCAAGCAGTGGTTACCAATTAGTAGCAATCAAAGAAATAATATAACCATTTGATATGTATAGCTACCCGGTCCGAGGGAGCCGGTCGGCCGAGTGGACAGCACGCTGGACTTGTGATCCTGTGGTCCTGGGTTCGATCCCAGGCGCCGGCGAGAAACAATGGGCAGAGTTTCTTTCACCCTATGCCCCTGTTACCTAGCAGTAAAATAGGTACCTGGGTGTTAGTCAGCTGTCACGGGCTGCTTCCTGGGGGTGGAGGCCTGGTAGAAGACCGGGCCGCGGGGACACTAAAGCCCCGAAATCATCTCAAGATAACCCACTGTTTTGAGTGGTTTAGGGCAAATGTCTTGCATCCCCACCATGTTAATAGTTTAAACTTTAAGAAAACATTAAGAAAAATTCAAAGTATTTTTCTGCCTATGTAAGAAGTAAAACGTAGTCAAACGATTTGGTAGAACCCATAAAAAATGAGACCAAATAGGTTATAATTATTGATAAAAAGGCAGCTAGAACCGAATGAATGCTTTACAGTAGTGTTTTTACTAGAAAGATTAGAAATACAAACACACAAATGTTTGGAGCATGGGAAAGAGAATGAATTACGAGATATTCCATAAGTTCAAAACAATCAGGAAGAGCACTGACAAATTAAGGGATTCAAAAGCCTCAGGTGTCGATGGAATTCAATCCAAAGTCAAAGAAACTGGCAGATGAACTATGTCTACAAATGAAACTCCATTTCAGAAAATCTCTGGAACAAGGAATAGTTCTCCTAGACTGGAAATCTGCAGGTGTCACCCCAAACCCAACCAATAAGTTGACTCATACCAGGAATGGTCAAGGGCAACAGGACTAACAACAAGGCAAACCAGACATGACAGGGCTGATCTTACCTGAAATTTTTAAATACTGAAAAGTTGGATATTTATCTAGCCTAATTATTTACAAGGTCAAATATAACACATAAAAAGGGTAACAGCTTCAAGTTCAACACCTTAATAAGCTAAAATGCAGGACAGAAAATACTTTTCGAATACTGTACTTTTATATTAAACGTCTGAAAACAAAGTTGACCTTAAAATTCCAATGAAATATAAAACACCAATATGAATTACATAACTTATCAGTACTGCACTCTATTTAATATTAATAATAGTTTATTTAGGGAAAAGTACATGTTCATACAAAATTAGTTACATGTACAAGCAAAATGTTAGATTTCTAGGTACTGGTATATACTATGCCTAAAGCTACCAATAAGCACAGTGTTTTGGGTAATATTGTTCAGCCTATGGTCACCTCTTGGCTAGTCAACATTGCCTAGATGTCTGAATACTGGTGATTATTAGGTATTCTTTATTTAACCATGTCTTAGCTTTCACACAAGATATATTCCTTGAAATGCAGTCACAATAACATCTATAAATGTTCTTTCTCAACTATAGAAGTTTCAGGTTAATAAGCATATATACAGTACTGTATATGCACATTACAAAACTGATTGGATGTGCTCAGTACTCCCAGAGCAAGCACACAAGTAATTTGATAAAAATACACGTATCTACACTGTCTACTTCAGTTATTTTAATGGCAAAGGATTTAAAATGTAACAGGTATTACTGTACAGTATTTCTAATGAAATTTTTTGTTTATTATTGTATCTAGCTAAAATCAACCTTAATCTCAAGAGAAGTCGCAGCTCACAACCAATTGCAAGAGCATTAATCAAGGCACATTCTCTATAAACATATCTTTTCTTGACCAGAGGCTATAATCCCTGTGATGCATATAAAGTTTAATGAATATATCTGCCATTCTGATAACATAAAAATATGCTTCATTAGCAATGAAGCAATAATTAGCTTCATTAGCAATAATCTCCGTTAATTACGTACATAGATTATTTATGAGGTTGAGATGGGGCAGAAAACTGGGAAATGGTAGTGAATGTGAAGTATAGAGAGCTTGAAATAATGTGCACGCCACAGCTGTATAGACGACCTTGCTGTCTTCAACTTGCTAGACTGAGGTTAAGCACATATAATGGTCTCAAGTTATATGGGAACAAAGCATTGTTGGGTCATATGCTCTAACCTAAGAACCTTTTCACTTCACTTAACCTTCGTATCAGTACTGAACAGTTAATTTATTCACCAATTTCTCTTAATTATTAACAAATTATACTGTAAAGCCCTCCTCCTTCCCCAACAACAGAGGCCCACTCGTCCACAAGGACGAGAAATGAGGATTTTCCTAGTAAATTCATTTCGTATCACAGATTAGGTGATTAGGAACAATATCTTCCCTTCCCTATTTGGCTATACAAATGTCATCCTTATATGACAACCACTTGAAGATGATGTGGCGACCACCAAAGAAACTCAGGGCTACTTTTGCCTAAATATCGAAAATATCAAGAGTAATAATATAATTAAGACATGTTTGCGTTCCTTTATGATCCATGAAGTTCTCGTGAAGTTTTTTACCTCCCGGTGACTGCAATTTTTACCTTGTTGTTAACTGAAGAGGAAGAATGTCTTGTCTGCTGCCTCCATACTTGTGTTGTGGTCACCTGCAAGATCTGAAGAAGTGTCGCCAGCTAAACCTCTAAAACTCATGAATTTGTAATAAATGAATCCTAATATTTTTGTGTTACTGACTGTTAAAGTTTTCAGCGTAATATATTTAAATGCATAGAATACACTATATTTTAATGGTTTTAATAGTATTATCCCTACACGTATTTAATAAACAAAATTGCGATAATAGGATAACTTACCAATATTTGCTGCATGACGCCTAATTATGGGTGAGAAGTCCCTCCACGTTTTTACAATTGAACAATGTTTATTATTATTATTGTCAAGGTCTTCTGTATCCACAACCTCATTCTTGTATATTGCATAATTATATTTTAGCATAGTCCGTGGGTGGTTCAAATGATGAGCAACAATAAACCATCCACTAGACAGTAGGACATTGTAATTGACAGAATTAGACTAGGATATCGATATCTATTGAATTACGCTGGTTTATCGATATCTATGGAATTAGACTAAGATATCGATATCTATTGAATTACGCTGGGATATCGATATCTATGGCCTATGGCTGCAGGTAATGAATCTCCCAATGGTGAGCATTCCAACTGTAAACTATGTGAACAAGAGCTGGAGCATACTCTCCATCACTATATCTGTGATTGCTCTGTAATCAGGGATTTCAGACCAAATGGTATGAGGTAATTTAAGCTTTGTAACTACTTCATACACTCACGAATATGAGAAGATATTCTTGTGCTGTACCCATATTTTGCTAGTGCAGGCTGATTGATTAGCCTCGCATTTCATGTTCTCTAATATATAACATGTATGGCTAACCATCATGTGAGATGGGGATATTATATAAAATTATGAATAATTTTGGATCTACGCTTTGTAATCTTTCATATGGAATAGGGTAGCAGCACATTGCTGTGTATATACCCTATTGCTACTAAGAATAGCTTAGTTTTTTAATATGACGGCTCACCGTGGACATAAATAAATAAATAAATAAATAAATAAATGTTTATTTAGGTAAGGTACATACATACAAGAAATTTTTACAAAGATTGGTTGACTTATAGGTAGAGCTAGTACATACAATGCCTAAAGCCACTATTACGCAAAGCGTTTCGGGCATGAAATCTTCAAGAATGGAATGGAATGGAACTATCAGGGAAAAGCGATAAACCATTACGACTATATAGCCCTTGGAAGGGGCCAGAATATGAATTTGGGATGGGACGGGGGGGGAAGGAATAGTGCCCAACCACTTGGACAGTCGGGGATTGAACGCTGACCTGCATGAAGCAAGACCGTCCCTCTACCGTCCAGCCCAAATGGATGGGCTGGACGTCTTCAAGAGAAAACTAGATAGTTTCCTTCAAGAAATGCCGGACCAACCGGGCTGTGGTGGATATGTGGGCGTGGGGGCCGCTCCAAGCAACAGTCTAGTCACCTCTAGTGGACCAAACTCTCACAAGTCAAGCCTAACCCCGGGCCGGGCTTGGGGAGTAAAACTCTCAGAACCCCATCAAGCAGGTACCAAGCAGGTACCTTGCTTTTAATTATCTCTTCGACATATCTGCTAAAGTATCCATATTCGTGCGTTAGTTGAAATCCAATACCATAGGCGATATAACTTTTTATTAAATTTATTATTAATTATACAATATTTGCAACTGCAAGTTGCATGGAGAAGTTGCAACTGCAGTTCCTAGTAATTTGCAACTGAAGCTGCTGTTTTTATGCAACTTCGCGGTTGCTATTAAGTTGCATCTGTAGTTGCTAGAAGTTTGTAACTGCGAGTTGCAGACTACAGTGTGCATGTACTAGGAGACATGTTAAGTGACTTTAATAACTATACTGTACTTGTATACCTATTCTACGTAAATAGGGGCGCAGGCACCCGAACATAATAGTTATCTTGAGATGATTTCAGGGCTTTTTTTTTAGTGTCCCCGCGGCCCGGTCCTCGACCAGGCCTCCACCCCCAGGTACCTAGTTTACTGCTAGGTAACAGGGGCATAGGGTGAAAGAAACTCTGCCCATTGTTTCTCTCCGGCGCCCGGGATCGAACCCGGGACCACAGGATCACAAGTCCAGTGTGCTGTCCGCTCGGCCGACCGGCTCCCCGGTCGTAAATATAGTACGTAAATAAAGTACACAAGATTACAGAATTCATCCCAATATTATAAGTCTTGCACTTAACAATAATAACGAAGGAGGCATATCGCCTATGCATAATTAGCCTAAATAATTAACATTACTAATTACCAGTAATTACCAAATTACATATGTGTTTAACATTACATTACATGTTTAAATGTTGAGACAAGCTACACATGCACACATAAACATTGAAAGAGTACATGCATGATGAATGTGTATACATGCGTACAACGATCGAGATAAAAAGAAGTCATGGTAAACATATATGAGTTGAAACATAATAAAGTTGTGCCGGATGAAGTGGGGGGTTAGGGAAGGGACCCCCAAATAGGCATAGCACAGCTGGGGTCCGGCAAAGCCCCCCTTCTCCCCAAAACGCCATGCCGGGTGGATCATATTTACGAGTGAAATATCCTATTGCTACTAAGAACAGCTTGGTCATTCAATATGGCGGCTCACCTTCCTTTTAATAATCTCTTTGACATATCTGCTAGAGTATCAGTTATTGACCAGGACATGCCTAACTCTACCGAGTTCCTCGTCAACCTACTTCCAACTGAAGCTGAGTGAAAGTTGACATAAGCATTGGCATATATGGCACCGTTGATATAGGCATTGACATATATGGCACCATTGACATGTATGTCACCGTTGACATAGGCATTGGCATATATGACATAGTTGACATAGACATTGGTATATATGGCACCGTTGACATAGGCATTGGCATATATGTCACCGTTGACATAGGCATTGATGGCACCATTGACATAGGCATTGGCATATATGGCCCCTTTGACATAGACATATATGGCACAGTTGACACAGGTAATGGCATATATGGCACAGTTGACATAGGCATAGCCTCAGTAATCTGCGCACATCGTGTGATGGCATTACATTTAGTTGGAAGAAATTCCCGTGAAATTTGTAACCTCTGAGTAAACTATATATTATTTTAATTTTATGGCCATTATCAGCCTGTAAGACAATTAAAGGCTATGTTTATGCAACAAAGTAATGAGTATATAAACATTTTTGCAGCCTAATCTCATTCAAAACTAAAATTGGCAGCCTTATCATGACAGGGGAATTTTTTTTTTTACTGCGCATAAAGTGAGGCAATCACGGAAACTGTGACTTTTGTAACTAGTTAATCATTATTGTACCTTCCTTAGTTGATATATTATGTATAAGTTCCAGAATCAATTATGCACCTATGGAACCAATTAACCGACATCCATGATAATTCAGACCCTCTTCTAAACACGTCGCGTTTCTAGCAGAATTGATCAACCCGACACGATTACAGTTTTAGTAAAGCGTAAAGCAACGCAATATTGACGTATTATGAGCAACGGAATTAACGTGTTAGGCTCGAAACTTTCTGGTAAAACAAAATACTTTTTTTTTAATATTGAATCGTGAGAATGGGCTGGCCTTGTGGGTTATACTATAAAAGAAGCAACGCCACGTGACACTATATGGCTATAAATCTCATTTTCCAGTAATGTTTTCGGTATGGAATAAAATATTCTTCGTTTTTTTATGTAGGTAATTATAGAGAACTACTGGATATGTGACTGAAAATAAATGGCGGGAAAAATGGCGGGAGGCACATTAGCGGCGGGGGCGGCGCGTGACGCCATTCCTCTCCCAGCCTCCATCACGTGAGTACCTCTTGCTCTCCACTCTTAAAATTTGTGTAATTTTTTGTGAAGGTTTACACTCAGGCACGTCAGCCTCCCCCTACGACCTAGGCACGAAGGCACGCCCGCCTCCCCCTACGACTTAGGCACGAAGGCACGGCCGCCCCCCTCACGAGCCAGGAACGCGCGTCACCTGCCCCCTTGACCAAGGCGCGCGTTCTCCCCGACCAAGGCACGTGCCCCCGTCCAGACGCCTCCCATCCAGGCACGCCTCACACCTAGACACGCCTCCCATCCAGGCACGCCTCACACCTAGACACGCCTCCCATCCAGGCACGCCTCACACTTAGACACGCCTCCCATCCAGGCACGCCTCCCATCCAGGCACGCCTCACACCTAGACACGCCTCCCATCCAGGCACGCCTCCCATCCAGGCACGCCACACCTAGACACGCCTCACACCTAGACACGCCTCCCATCCAAGCACGCCTCCCACCTTGACACGCCTCCCATCCAGACACGCCTCCCATCCAGACACGCCTCCCATCCAGACACGCCTCCCATCCAGACACGCCTCCCACCTAGACATGCTTCACACCTAAACACGCCTCACACCCAGACACGCCCCTCACCTAGATACGCCTCACACCTAGACACACCTCCCATCCGGGCACGCCTCCCATCCGGGCACGCCTCATACCTAGACACGCCTCACACCTAGACACGCCTCCCATCCGGGCACGCCTCACACCTAGACACGCCTCCCATCCGGGCACGCCTCACACCTAGACACGCCTCACACCTAGACACGCCTCACACCTAGACACCCCTCACACCTAGACACGCCTCACACCTAGACACGCCTCACACCTAGACACGCCTCCCACCTAGACACGCCTCACACCTAGACACGCCTCACCTAGACACGCCTCCCACCTAGACACGCCTCCCATCCGGGCACGCCTCCCATCCGGGCACGCCTCACACCTAGACACGCCTCCCACCTAGACACGCCTCCCACCTAGACACGCCTCCCACCAAGACCTAGGGTGTAGCCGGAAAATGTATTAATGGCAGGATGCATAGGGTTGGGCCGGGTAAGCAACCAGTGGCAGGAACGTGTGGCCCTAGAATGTAAATTGGCGGGAAACTTTAGTGACGCCGGAGAATCTAAGAATGGCGGGAAAAGAATTGCGGGGGTAGAGAACTTTCGGTGTAAGTTGGGCTTTACTTATATCAGTAGTCAATTCGTCTGCCCCTGTACCTACCTGTGTAAACA